TTTCGTGACCGGTGGTTGTTTCGGCGACAACGCTATCGTCCCGAGCGACGCACCACAAACCACCACGGCAAACGATCCGGCCGAGTCCGCGCCTCCTGCCGCACAGTCGCTAGACGACAAGCCGCGCGATCATGCTGCAGGTAGTTCGCGTTCGGCGATGGCTCCCCCCAAGCCCGTGGCGTTCCCCACGCCAAAGCCGAACAGCCAAGTCGGTCGGCCCACATCGATGTCATCCGGAGTTCGCGGCGGCGCTGGCGTTTCGCGTTCCAGTGCTCGGCCGAACGCTTCGCCGTGGAAGCTTTCGACGACCGCTCCGCCAGAAATGCCTGAAGCGTTTCGCACACGTTTCCTGGAACTGTATGCTGTCAGCCCCAAGCAGCCCTGGGTCGAAATGACATGGTGGGAAGGAGCCGATTCCGATCAAATACAGAAGTACATGGACCATCTCGAGTTGCTCGTCGTCCGTGACGAAGTGCCTGGTCAAATCGAAGCCAGCAACGTTACCGTCACGCCGTTGGGAGGATCGAGTCGTGATTTCTATCCACCCAATGGAGACCAATCGATGGCTCTCTTCCCGGAGCCCACGCACCTGCTGCATGTCAGCGTAGCGTACCCCGGCGACGACAATGCATCGATCGTCTTGATGCAAGACTTCGCCGTCGGCATGCAAGATGGCAAGCTCTACTTCTGCCGCGAAGACTAATCGTTATGGACGTTCGCCAATTCAATCGAGATGCGTGGGATCGTCAGGTCGAAGCCAACGATCGCTGGACCGTTCCGGTAAGTTCCGACGAAATCGCCCAAGCCAAAGCTGGAACCTGGTCGGTGATTCTAACGCCCACCAAGCCTGTACCGCGCGATTGGTTTCCTGCGTCGATGGCTGGCGTGAAGATCTTATGCCTCGCTTCCGGGGGTGGGCAGCAAGGGCCGATCCTCGCGGCAACCGGAGCGGACGTTGTTGTCTACGACAACTCGCCCAAGCAGCTGCACCAAGATCGTCTTGTGGCCGATCGCGATGGCCTGGCACTAGAAACCGTCGAAGGCGATATGGCCGATCTTAGCCCCTTCGCCGATGCGTCGTTCGACTTGATCTTTCATCCTTGCTCCAATTGCTTTGCCGCCGATGTCCTGCCGGTCTGGCGAGAGGCCTTTCGAGTGCTGCGTCCTGGCGGCACACTGTTGTCCGGTATCTCGAATCCAGTGCGGTTTGTCTTCGACGAGGCAGCCCAGGATGAACCGGGGCAACTGATCGTACGGCACAAAATTCCTTACTCCGATCTCACCCATCTGACCGAGCAGGAACAGGCCAACGCCAT